CGCTCTTCCTTCTTCCCCACTTCTGGGTTTCTGCTTTTCTTTTGGTTTTTCCAGGGCCACTCTAGCCTCAAGTAGCAGCTGCTCCAGAACTGTGGCTCCCAGGGAATTGTTCTCTCCTTCACCGGCTCCTGCTGGATCTTGGTAAGTTCTTCCCATGTTTCTTCTTCTCCACACCTGTTTACGCATAAGAGTTTAACACCATCTGAGAAACATGGAGATGATAAAAGTTGGGTTTATCCTAATGAAACAAAAAGCCCTGGATTCAGAACAAAATTAATGTATATTTTTTGGGGGAAAATTAAACTAAAACCCATATGGCATTTTCTACTGACCATGACTAGGATCTAAGGGGGATCCTCAATTTTTCTATTGTCATGATCAAAAGGCAAAGATTTAGAAAGTGTTGATCTCAAAGTAATGCCCTATTAATTTTATTAACCATATATTTTATGTAAAAGGGACTTCAAGGTAAGACCACTCCTTAATGTCAGCAATAATAGAAATACTATAATATCATCTGATATTTATGAAGTTCATGTTTTCTACTTGTGTATAAATTACAGTAGGAGATGTTGTTAAAATTCAAATATAGCAAATAAGAATTCCCCAGTATTGTAATACATTTGAAATTAAAAAAAAAAAGACTATTTTTCTCTACCAGCAATCTATGCCATTTTGTTTTGGTGCCTTACACTTTGTAGTTCAGTGTGACAGGTGAAAAAATAATGTTACTAAGACATTATGTACTTCATTATGTGGCATACAAAGGAGTCCCAATGTGTACTCATTCACATTATCAGAAATAAATGCACTATTGCATAATAAAAATGCAGAAAAACTGATTGACTTTGGTGGAAAAATAGGAAGTGCAGAAAAAAAACCTCACAAACCAGAATGTTTTCTCTTGTCAGCGCACCAAAATAGCTCCTCTATCATCCAGCTATATTTGTCTCATTGAGCAATACTCATTCTCGCTTTCCATTTTCCTCTTGACTCCACATAGCTGGCTGTCCAGGAGACTAGCTTCAATACTGTATGAAACTCAAGTAATACCAAAACACTCTGTAGTAATTTTGACGGTATTTGAGCACCTTGTCATTCCAAGGCTATTATTGAAAATATTGGCATATGTAGCTGATTATAGGGCCAGATCAAGATTGGTTCCACAAACACATACATTTTAAAATCTGATCCAGATTGGCCCTGCTCCATCAGTCATAACCATGTTAAATACCAAAAAATATTACTGGTAATATCTTTTATAGGACCAGCTGCATGGTTCAATTGTTTACCATGTTTATTTTAGACATGGCAAAACATTTTAGGTGTCTTCACTCAGGCTCAGAAGTGATCACGGTTAGTGACAACCACCTATGTTCTGTTGTGATCCAGAATGGTGCTGGAAAAATGCCCAAGTTCCTGGTAGAACACAGTCCACTAATCATGCTGTGACTCCTACTGATTGAATTCAGTTCAGCTCAAGACATGGTGGTAGTTATGCCTAATTAGTTACTGCACAGTAATGCAGGAGCTTCTTGGCTGGGTCTGGCCCGCCCCCCAGGGGGGCGCCCCCCCCAGCCACTAGGGGGGCAGACAGAATGTAGACCCAGGGCTCCTGCCTGGCCCTCTTTCTGTAAGCCCCTAGCTGCAGGGCATAAAAGCCTGAAGCCACTTTGGGCCTTGGAGCACATACTCCAGAGAGCCAGCAGGAGCTGCTTGTGGCTGCAGCACTCCAGGAGGCTCCATATGCCCTCCTGGACAGCCCCCAGGATGTGTTTGCTGTGTCTATAATGCTCCAAAGCTGCTGCTTGGCCACAGATGAGTAGTTTGCTTCACCCCTTGCTCAGCCCTGTGATCCCACCAGGGCTACAGATCCTGCTGGGAGGAAGTGCCTTGGCTTCAGCACCACCCTGCAGCCACCCACTAGTAGTGGCTGGCTATGCCACTGCCAGCTGCCAGCAGCACCAGCTCCTCCCTGGGAAGTTTAGGGCCCCTGGAGCAGAGCATCTTCTCTCTTAAATGTTGAAAACTCACAAAAGCCTTCTGTCTCTTGCATCTTCAGGGCCAACATCGACATGGGGGAGAGACCACAGGGGCCCACAGGACCACTGCTGCAGGCTCATTGCCACCTGCTGCTGGAGCCACCCAGAGGTGCCAGCTGTACCAGTGGCAAAGCCAGGATGGGTATTGGGGGCAGGGGCTGGCTAGGCACTGGCCCCAAGCTCACCAGAGGCCATGGACACTGGGTGGAGCCAGATGCTACCTGGCACAAGGAGCCCTGCTCTGAGCCATGAGTCTCACTGTCCCTGGAACCATGGTAAGTCTCACACTGAGAGGTAAACCATCCTAGCCCCGGTCCCCATCCCCACCTCTGCCCCTGCCCCTGGCCCCAGCCCTGGCTCCAGCCCCAGTCCCAGCCCTGGACCCTGCTCCTTGCCCAGCCTGCCCACCCTCCCCTGGTCCCAGGTTCCCCCCGCCCCCCACACCAAATTCAGAGAGGCAGAACACAGGTCAGACCTTTATTGGGCAGCCCGTGTCCCCATAGCTGGGTGGGTACAGGCCTCTTGAGTCCCAAGGAAGACATTGATTCCTGTGGTGATCTCCTCCACAGCAGCTGGGGGCGTGAGCATGTATTTCTGTGACAGACAGCCTTCCAGGCAGTGGTAGCCACTACAGTGTAGGCTGGGCTTGCCCCCCACACTGTTGTAGCTCAGGATCCCATGCAGCAGGGGCATGCTCAGGGTGCAGTGGAGACCTGACAGGGGGCTGGCACTGGGATGCCTCTCTGGAGAGGTCCCCAGTGAGGAGGGCAGGGGCATGAGCAGCCCCTCACCCCAGTGGTTTGGGAGCCCCATCCACCCTGAGCCTAGGTGCTGGGGGATAGGCATCAATGCAACAGCATTGTGGACTTTCAGGGGTAGAGGGGGGATCAGGGAAGCTGAGCCATGGCATCAGGTGTTGCAGCCTATCCTGGCCTGCCCTGTGCTGGGAAGGAAGCAGGGGAGGCAAGCGGCCTCCAGCCAGCCCCTGGGGAGCAAGCAGAGACAGGGGCTCAGGTGGCACCCACCTGGGCACAGGCCTGCCAAGCCAGCTTACCATGGTCCCTGTGTACCCACATGTAGCTGACCTCCAATCTGAAGCCAGGAAGTGTAGGGCCCCTGGAGCAGAGCATCTTCTCTCTTAAATGTTGAAAACTCACAAAAGCCTTCTGTCTCTTGCATCTTCAGGGCCAACATCGACATGGGGGAGAGACCACAGGGGCCCACAGGACCACTGCTGCAGGCTCATTGCCACCTGCTGCTGGAGCCACCCAGAGGTGCCAGCTGTACCAGTGGCAAAGCCAGGATGGGTATTGGGGGCAGGGGCTGGCTAGGCACTGGCCCCAAGCTCACCAGAGGCCATGGACACTGGGTGGAGCCAGATGCTACCTGGCACAAGGAGCCCTGCTCTGAGCCATGAGTCTCACTGTCCCTGGAACCATGGTAAGTCTCACACTGAGAGGTAAACCATCCTAGCCCCGGTCCCCATCCCCACCTCTGCCCCTGCCCCTGGCCCCAGCCCTGGCTCCAGCCCCAGTCCCAGCCCTGGACCCTGCTCCTTGCCCAGCCTGCCCACCCTCCCCTGGTCCCAGGTTCCCCCCGCCCCCCACACCAAATTCAGAGAGGCAGAACACAGGTCAGACCTTTATTGGGCAGCCCGTGTCCCCATAGCTGGGTGGGTACAGGCCTCTTGAGTCCCAAGGAAGACATTGATTCCTGTGGTGATCTCCTCCACAGCAGCTGGGGGCGTGAGCATGTATTTCTGTGACAGACAGCCTTCCAGGCAGTGGTAGCCACTACAGTGTAGGCTGGGCTTGCCCCCCACACTGTTGTAGCTCAGGATCCCATGCAGCAGGGGCATGCTCAGGGTGCAGTGGAGACCTGACAGGGGGCTGGCACTGGGATGCCTCTCTGGAGAGGTCCCCAGTGAGGAGGGCAGGGGCATGAGCAGCCCCTCACCCCAGTGGTTTGGGAGCCCCATCCACCCTGAGCCTAGGTGCTGGGGGATAGGCATCAATGCAACAGCATTGTGGACTTTCAGGGGTAGAGGGGGGATCAGGGAAGCTGAGCCATGGCATCAGGTGTTGCAGCCTATCCTGGCCTGCCCTGTGCTGGGAAGGAAGCAGGGGAGGCAAGCGGCCTCCAGCCAGCCCCTGGGGAGCAAGCAGAGACAGGGGCTCAGGTGGCACCCACCTGGGCACAGGCCTGCCAAGCCAGCTTACCATGGTCCCTGTGTACCCACATGTAGCTGACCTCCAATCTGAAGCCAGGAAGTGTAGGGCCCCTGGAGCAGAGCATCTTCTCTCTTAAATGTTGAAAACTCACAAAAGCCTTCTGTCTCTTGCATCTTCAGGGCCAACATCGACATGGGGGAGAGACCACAGGGGCCCACAGGACCACTGCTGCAGGCTCATTGCCACCTGCTGCTGGAGCCACCCAGAGGTGCCAGCTGTACCAGTGGCAAAGCCAGGATGGGTATTGGGGGCAGGGGCTGGCTAGGCACTGGCCCCAAGCTCACCAGAGGCCATGGACACTGGGTGGAGCCAGATGCTACCTGGCACAAGGAGCCCTGCTCTGAGCCATGAGTCTCACTGTCCCTGGAACCATGGTAAGTCTCACACTGAGAGGTAAACCATCCTAGCCCCGGTCCCCATCCCCACCTCTGCCCCTGCCCCTGGCCCCAGCCCTGGCTCCAGCCCCAGTCCCAGCCCTGGACCCTGCTCCTTGCCCAGCCTGCCCACCCTCCCCTGGTCCCAGGTTCCCCCCGCCCCCCACACCAAATTCAGAGAGGCAGAACACAGGTCAGACCTTTATTGGGCAGCCCGTGTCCCCATAGCTGGGTGGGTACAGGCCTCTTGAGTCCCAAGGAAGACATTGATTCCTGTGGTGATCTCCTCCACAGCAGCTGGGGGCGTGAGCATGTATTTCTGTGACAGACAGCCTTCCAGGCAGTGGTAGCCACTACAGTGTAGGCTGGGCTTGCCCCCCACACTGTTGTAGCTCAGGATCCCATGCAGCAGGGGCATGCTCAGGGTGCAGTGGAGACCTGACAGGGGGCTGGCACTGGGATGCCTCTCTGGAGAGGTCCCCAGTGAGGAGGGCAGGGGCATGAGCAGCCCCTCACCCCAGTGGTTTGGGAGCCCCATCCACCCTGAGCCTAGGTGCTGGGGGATAGGCATCAATGCAACAGCATTGTGGACTTTCAGGGGTAGAGGGGGGATCAGGGAAGCTGAGCCATGGCATCAGGTGTTGCAGCCTATCCTGGCCTGCCCTGTGCTGGGAAGGAAGCAGGGGAGGCAAGCGGCCTCCAGCCAGCCCCTGGGGAGCAAGCAGAGACAGGGGCTCAGGTGGCACCCACCTGGGCACAGGCCTGCCAAGCCAGCTTACCATGGTCCCTGTGTACCCACATGTAGCTGACCTCCAATCTGAAGCCAGGAAGTGTAGGGCCCCTGGAGCAGAGCATCTTCTCTCTTAAATGTTGAAAACTCACAAAAGCCTTCTGTCTCTTGCATCTTCAGGGCCAACATCGACATGGGGGAGAGACCACAGGGGCCCACAGGACCACTGCTGCAGGCTCATTGCCACCTGCTGCTGGAGCCACCCAGAGGTGCCAGCTGTACCAGTGGCAAAGCCAGGATGGGTATTGGGGGCAGGGGCTGGCTAGGCACTGGCCCCAAGCTCACCAGAGGCCATGGACACTGGGTGGAGCCAGATGCTACCTGGCACAAGGAGCCCTGCTCTGAGCCATGAGTCTCACTGTCCCTGGAACCATGGTAAGTCTCACACTGAGAGGTAAACCATCCTAGCCCCGGTCCCCATCCCCACCTCTGCCCCTGCCCCTGGCCCCAGCCCTGGCTCCAGCCCCAGTCCCAGCCCTGGACCCTGCTCCTTGCCCAGCCTGCCCACCCTCCCCTGGTCCCAGGTTCCCCCCGCCCCCCACACCAAATTCAGAGAGGCAGAACACAGGTCAGACCTTTATTGGGCAGCCCGTGTCCCCATAGCTGGGTGGGTACAGGCCTCTTGAGTCCCAAGGAAGACATTGATTCCTGTGGTGATCTCCTCCACAGCAGCTGGGGGCGTGAGCATGTATTTCTGTGACAGACAGCCTTCCAGGCAGTGGTAGCCACTACAGTGTAGGCTGGGCTTGCCCCCCACACTGTTGTAGCTCAGGATCCCATGCAGCAGGGGCATGCTCAGGGTGCAGTGGAGACCTGACAGGGGGCTGGCACTGGGATGCCTCTCTGGAGAGGTCCCCAGTGAGGAGGGCAGGGGCATGAGCAGCCCCTCACCCCAGTGGTTTGGGAGCCCCATCCACCCTGAGCCTAGGTGCTGGGGGATAGGCATCAATGCAACAGCATTGTGGACTTTCAGGGGTAGAGGGGGGATCAGGGAAGCTGAGCCATGGCATCAGGTGTTGCAGCCTATCCTGGCCTGCCCTGTGCTGGGAAGGAAGCAGGGGAGGCAAGCGGCCTCCAGCCAGCCCCTGGGGAGCAAGCAGAGACAGGGGCTCAGGTGGCACCCACCTGGGCACAGGCCTGCCAAGCCAGCTTACCATGGTCCCTGTGTACCCACATGTAGCTGACCTCCAATCTGAAGCCAGGAAGTGTAGGGCCCCTGGAGCAGAGCATCTTCTCTCTTAAATGTTGAAAACTCACAAAAGCCTTCTGTCTCTTGCATCTTCAGGGCCAACATCGACATGGGGGAGAGACCACAGGGGCCCACAGGACCACTGCTGCAGGCTCATTGCCACCTGCTGCTGGAGCCACCCAGAGGTGCCAGCTGTACCAGTGGCAAAGCCAGGATGGGTATTGGGGGCAGGGGCTGGCTAGGCACTGGCCCCAAGCTCACCAGAGGCCATGGACACTGGGTGGAGCCAGATGCTACCTGGCACAAGGAGCCCTGCTCTGAGCCATGAGTCTCACTGTCCCTGGAACCATGGTAAGTCTCACACTGAGAGGTAAACCATCCTAGCCCCGGTCCCCATCCCCACCTCTGCCCCTGCCCCTGGCCCCAGCCCTGGCTCCAGCCCCAGTCCCAGCCCTGGACCCTGCTCCTTGCCCAGCCTGCCCACCCTCCCCTGGTCCCAGGTTCCCCCCGCCCCCCACACCAAATTCAGAGAGGCAGAACACAGGTCAGACCTTTATTGGGCAGCCCGTGTCCCCATAGCTGGGTGGGTACAGGCCTCTTGAGTCCCAAGGAAGACATTGATTCCTGTGGTGATCTCCTCCACAGCAGCTGGGGGCGTGAGCATGTATTTCTGTGACAGACAGCCTTCCAGGCAGTGGTAGCCACTACAGTGTAGGCTGGGCTTGCCCCCCACACTGTTGTAGCTCAGGATCCCATGCAGCAGGGGCATGCTCAGGGTGCAGTGGAGACCTGACAGGGGGCTGGCACTGGGATGCCTCTCTGGAGAGGTCCCCAGTGAGGAGGGCAGGGGCATGAGCAGCCCCTCACCCCAGTGGTTTGGGAGCCCCATCCACCCTGAGCCTAGGTGCTGGGGGATAGGCATCAATGCAACAGCATTGTGGACTTTCAGGGGTAGAGGGGGGATCAGGGAAGCTGAGCCATGGCATCAGGTGTTGCAGCCTATCCTGGCCTGCCCTGTGCTGGGAAGGAAGCAGGGGAGGCAAGCGGCCTCCAGCCAGCCCCTGGGGAGCAAGCAGAGACAGGGGCTCAGGTGGCACCCACCTGGGCACAGGCCTGCCAAGCCAGCTTACCATGGTCCCTGTGTACCCACATGTAGCTGACCTCCAATCTGAAGCCAGGAAGTGTAGGGCCCCTGGAGCAGAGCATCTTCTCTCTTAAATGTTGAAAACTCACAAAAGCCTTCTGTCTCTTGCATCTTCAGGGCCAACATCGACATGGGGGAGAGACCACAGGGGCCCACAGGACCACTGCTGCAGGCTCATTGCCACCTGCTGCTGGAGCCACCCAGAGGTGCCAGCTGTACCAGTGGCAAAGCCAGGATGGGTATTGGGGGCAGGGGCTGGCTAGGCACTGGCCCCAAGCTCACCAGAGGCCATGGACACTGGGTGGAGCCAGATGCTACCTGGCACAAGGAGCCCTGCTCTGAGCCATGAGTCTCACTGTCCCTGGAACCATGGTAAGTCTCACACTGAGAGGTAAACCATCCTAGCCCCGGTCCCCATCCCCACCTCTGCCCCTGCCCCTGGCCCCAGCCCTGGCTCCAGCCCCAGTCCCAGCCCTGGACCCTGCTCCTTGCCCAGCCTGCCCACCCTCCCCTGGTCCCAGGTTCCCCCCGCCCCCCACACCAAATTCAGAGAGGCAGAACACAGGTCAGACCTTTATTGGGCAGCCCGTGTCCCCATAGCTGGGTGGGTACAGGCCTCTTGAGTCCCAAGGAAGACATTGATTCCTGTGGTGATCTCCTCCACAGCAGCTGGGGGCGTGAGCATGTATTTCTGTGACAGACAGCCTTCCAGGCAGTGGTAGCCACTACAGTGTAGGCTGGGCTTGCCCCCCACACTGTTGTAGCTCAGGATCCCATGCAGCAGGGGCATGCTCAGGGTGCAGTGGAGACCTGACAGGGGGCTGGCACTGGGATGCCTCTCTGGAGAGGTCCCCAGTGAGGAGGGCAGGGGCATGAGCAGCCCCTCACCCCAGTGGTTTGGGAGCCCCATCCACCCTGAGCCTAGGTGCTGGGGGATAGGCATCAATGCAACAGCATTGTGGACTTTCAGGGGTAGAGGGGGGATCAGGGAAGCTGAGCCATGGCATCAGGTGTTGCAGCCTATCCTGGCCTGCCCTGTGCTGGGAAGGAAGCAGGGGAGGCAAGCGGCCTCCAGCCAGCCCCTGGGGAGCAAGCAGAGACAGGGGCTCAGGTGGCACCCACCTGGGCACAGGCCTGCCAAGCCAGCTTACCATGGTCCCTGTGTACCCACATGTAGCTGACCTCCAATCTGAAGCCAGGAAGTGTAGGGCCCCTGGAGCAGAGCATCTTCTCTCTTAAATGTTGAAAACTCACAAAAGCCTTCTGTCTCTTGCATCTTCAGGGCCAACATCGACATGGGGGAGAGACCACAGGGGCCCACAGGACCACTGCTGCAGGCTCATTGCCACCTGCTGCTGGAGCCACCCAGAGGTGCCAGCTGTACCAGTGGCAAAGCCAGGATGGGTATTGGGGGCAGGGGCTGGCTAGGCACTGGCCCCAAGCTCACCAGAGGCCATGGACACTGGGTGGAGCCAGATGCTACCTGGCACAAGGAGCCCTGCTCTGAGCCATGAGTCTCACTGTCCCTGGAACCATGGTAAGTCTCACACTGAGAGGTAAACCATCCTAGCCCCGGTCCCCATCCCCACCTCTGCCCCTGCCCCTGGCCCCAGCCCTGGCTCCAGCCCCAGTCCCAGCCCTGGACCCTGCTCCTTGCCCAGCCTGCCCACCCTCCCCTGGTCCCAGGTTCCCCCCGCCCCCCACACCAAATTCAGAGAGGCAGAACACAGGTCAGACCTTTATTGGGCAGCCCGTGTCCCCATAGCTGGGTGGGTACAGGCCTCTTGAGTCCCAAGGAAGACATTGATTCCTGTGGTGATCTCCTCCACAGCAGCTGGGGGCGTGAGCATGTATTTCTGTGACAGACAGCCTTCCAGGCAGTGGTAGCCACTACAGTGTAGGCTGGGCTTGCCCCCCACACTGTTGTAGCTCAGGATCCCATGCAGCAGGGGCATGCTCAGGGTGCAGTGGAGACCTGACAGGGGGCTGGCACTGGGATGCCTCTCTGGAGAGGTCCCCAGTGAGGAGGGCAGGGGCATGAGCAGCCCCTCACCCCAGTGGTTTGGGAGCCCCATCCACCCTGAGCCTAGGTGCTGGGGGATAGGCATCAATGCAACAGCATTGTGGACTTTCAGGGGTAGAGGGGGGATCAGGGAAGCTGAGCCATGGCATCAGGTGTTGCAGCCTATCCTGGCCTGCCCTGTGCTGGGAAGGAAGCAGGGGAGGCAAGCGGCCTCCAGCCAGCCCCTGGGGAGCAAGCAGAGACAGGGGCTCATGTGGCACCCACCTGGGCACAGGCCTGCCAAGCCAGCTTACCATGGTCCCTGTGTACCCACATGTAGCTGACCTCCAATCTGAAGCCAGGAAGTGTAGGGCCCCTGGAGCAGAGCATCTTCTCTCTTAAATGTTGAAAACTCACAAAAGCCTTCTGTCTCTTGCATCTTCAGGGCCAACATCGACATGGGGGAGAGACCACAGGGGCCCACAGCACCACTGCTGCAGGCTCAATGCCACCTGCTGCTGGAGCCACCCAGAGGTGCCAGCTGTACCAGTGGCAAAGCCAGGATGGGACCAGCTGCTCCAGCAGCTGGTGGTCTCAGTGGAGGGCTGGGTGGCAGACAAGCAGGCATGACAGGTGGAGAACCTCACTCAAGTGGCTGCCTGGGAGGAGGAGCTGCAGGCATGCCATGCCCACTGGACCACTGGGAACCCTGGAGCCGTGGCACAGGGAGCTTCTGAAGCAGCAACTGGCTTCCCAGGGCTGCCCAGCAGAGTCTATGCCCATGCTTCCCCACCCTTGGCCCCTTGCCCCAGCCTCTCAGGGCCCCTGGGATCCACTTACCACCCCACAGCAGGCCTCCAGCAGCACCCTGGAGAAGGTCCTGCAGTGCTTGCCAGCCACAGGCATCCACGGCCTTTGCTGCAGCCCCTGGACCCATGGAGGAACTGTCTGTGACTGGGGTGCTGGCCACCTGCCACCAGGCTCTCCACCCGGGGTGCCCCTTACCCTCAGCCCCTTGCAGCACAGGATCAGACACAGAAAATATGTGTGAAGTTCAGAGAATGGAGTTTTTATTGTTGGTGGGTGGGGAGGGTGGTGGAGTGGCACTGTGTGTAGGGGAGTGAAGGAGGGAAGGAGCTGTGTTTTGTTGACTGCAGAGGGAGGAGGGTGGGAGGGGTTGTTGTATTAATAAAATGTGTACAGTTTCTCCTATGTGTGTGTCTTGTAGTGGTGCTGGTGGTGGCAAGAGGGTTGCGAGGGGGCTGAGCAGTGGGGCAATTGGGCTGGAGCAGGGAATGCAGGAGGAGGAGGTCAGCAATGAGCCTCCCATAGCTGGCACCCTGGGCCTGGCTGGCTGGTGAGTGGCTGTCCTGGGGCCTGGGCAGGGTGCCCTGGTGGGGCCAGCAGGGCCAGCACCATGGCCAGTAGCAGTGCAGGGTGCTGGTCATTGCTGGCAGGGACTTGGCTGGAGCAGTGCAGCACTGGGAGCCACTGGCAGGGGCAGGGGTGTTTTGGGGAGGCAGGGTGGGCAGAGAGGAAGCTGTCATGTGCTGCACCTGCTCTAGGCATGCAGCTCCTGTGCAAGGGAGGGGCTGGGCAAGGATCAAAGAGTGGGTATGTCCATTTAAGATGGCCGTCAAGTGCTGGCAGCTGCCTCTGGCCTCAGCATACCTGACAAGTGGTGGCAGCCATGTGACTGGAGGTAGGAGCTCCACTCCAGTGGCCACAGGGGTACATGGAAGGCTGCTCTGATGTAGGATTAAATTTAGTCACAGGTTGCCTGCACATGTAGATGCCGGCCCTATTCCCATTTACTGAGCAGTAAATTACTGAGTAGTAAATTTAATGTGCAGTAAATGCTTGTGTAGATTCTCCCAGTGTAAATTGTTTTGTGAATATGTCTACATAAAGGATTCATTGAATATTTATGTATATAAAGCAAACTGATCAAAATCAAAGTCCTTTTGAAAATAATACCTGAAAAGAAAAATGCCTTAGAAAAATTCTTGCCACCAACAAAACTTACTGTAAAGTACAATACATTAAATCCTTTCTCCATCAAAACTATTCTTCTGTCTAATTAGAAATGGCATTCTTAAGAGACTGAAGTGTATGATGACAAATAGCAACAGATACCTGAAGACAGCACAGCTGTAATGTCATTGGTGCAATTTTAAGTGAAAATGACATTGATGGCATATGTGAGGTGGGTGTTGGGTGGTTGTATAAGCATACCTTGAAGGTACCTCTTCATATGGAAAAGACCCTTGTGTGGAGCCATGATGTGTGGTTGTGTGTACCTACAAAAAATAGTGTGCAAAGACACCTTTCTTCTTGACCCTGAGACCAAGAAGAAGAGAGGAGAAAGAGGAGGAATGAAAAAGAAAGGTATACCGGAGCCTGATATTGTATGTTCCTTTGCTGTATCAAAATCTGTGCACAGAAGCACCTTTGGGCAGAGAGGCCGCATATTCCAAAAAATGTAATTCCAGCTAAGAGGGTATGCCAATACCACCAATGACCATCTCAAGGTGTCTGTTGCTCTGTGTTATGAGCAGGGATCCTGGTTTTCTCTGATAAAAAATCCCCAATTTCAGATTAAAAAAGGAATCCAAAATCCACATTTTGCCGTGATTAAAATGAAACATCACTAATATATATATTGTTATAGTGTTTCATCTTAATCATGGAAATATATATATATCATGGAAATATATATATATTAGTGGTGTTTCATTTTAATCATGGGTAAATGTGGATTTTGGATACCTTCTTTAATCTGAAAATTAGGGATTTTTTTTTAAATCAGAGACAACTAGGAACCCTGGGTATGAGTAAAATACTAGTTTCACTGACATCAGTTTCAAAGGTCCTTTTAAATAAAAAAATAAAAAAAGTTTATGCATTCTTCCTTTCTTTTGTGAACGATATAACCAGAAATTAGATAATGGGTCGTACTGGATGGCAGCATCCAGAGTTGTATGTATTGTTTGACCACTAACAACTGACTCTTTTTAAGTTAGTTTTTGTCCCATGTGAGTCATATGTGCTTGCCCCATTCAGGTGACTCTAGAATCACAGAATATCCATGTCAATAAATAGCAAACATTTTCTGTATGTCTCAAAGGTCTCTTTACTGATTGTTGTCATATAAAGGTGTAAAACCAAACATAAAGCAGACCTGAAATCCTTTACAAATATCAATAACAAAGCAGAATTCATATCTTGATACAATTAATAGTGATGTGAAATGAATAAAAAGGCTGTGCAGTGGTTGAATCAATACTAAACTTGTATTCCTAATTGTAATCCTGTCAGGATTTATGAGATTTCTTTTACCTCCCAACTTCTTTCATAATATTAGTCAATTTTGAAACTCTCTAGAATACCAGTAATTGTATAACGTGGATACAGAACATAATTGGCACTAGCCAGTTCTGTTATTCCGCTACTATCCTGAGAACAAAATTCCCCCACATTAAAAAGCTAGTACATATTTAAACTTCACAGTTGATCTGAATTATTAGCTGAGGGACTTTTACCATTGATTTAATAGAGATTTAAATACAGGTCTAAATGACTTGTGTGAGCACCACTTGTATATCAATAGAATATGATTGCATAGTCTACTGTGTTCGAAGTGTTCTAAGGTTAATTGGCAAGCCAGGTCAATCTGCTGTTATCCTAAAAGGTAGGTGAAGGAGTGGAAAATAGAAAGATTAGTGCAGCTAATTGTTACTTTAATAAAAAATAATTTATTTCAAATGCAGTTTCATTTTATATACCTACATGTTTTTTGTGAATGTTGGGATGTATGAATCATATTCTACTCTTTCCAAGAAAGCATATAGTTTTTTTTTGTATGTAGAAGTTGCTTTATACTAGACAAATACAAGAAAATGGTTGACTATATAAATTAGACAGAATACACTTATTAATAGAGAATAAGGAACTGGAGGGGTCTGCCTGGGTCACGGAAAGCTCAGGTCCCTTCTAATAGAGAAATTCTTCATTATGCATCATATATTCTCTTTAATACATTTATCAAGTTCCAGCTTAATGATCATTGTCCCCAGTTTGGCTGGAAGGCTAAACCACACAGTTCTAGTGATTAAGAACCTTCTTCTAATTCTCACCCTAAATTTATTCATGACCATATTTGTCCTTGTTCCAGTATTGTCCTTCAGCTTAAATAGTTCTTCTTTTTCCTTGGTGTTCACTGCAATCATATAACTTTGTCTGTTTTTACTTCATTAAAGCAATAATACAAATTAGGTATCTTCTTACAACAGGCTTTCTAGTCTCAGGCTCATCCTAGCAACCCTTTTTACCTGTTCCACTTTGAGTAAATTTGACTTGAATATGGATGACTACAATTGTACAAAAGATTCTGCATGAGGTCTCATAAGCGTTACTGAAAATAATTGTCCTAGTATCACATTTGCATTTTTCTTGGATGCCTACAAGGGCACCAAGGTCCGCTTCCTCCATAGCCATTCCCATTTGATGAGGTTTTTTTCTCCTT